ATTTGTGTGTTATTATCTCTATCTGCATTTAAGGTGAATTATTTTCAGAATGGCATGTAACGTTTTTCTTACATTCCTTTCCCTTGGGAAATACCAATGAAACTCGTCCTCGTGAAGAACTGACATGTTTAGAAACTTCGGATACCTATTATCTTATTCTGCTTCGTTCATTACTTCCACTTATCTTAACCTGCTGATTTTCTTTCAGGAATGAAGCTTTGCCAGCCAAAGGCGTCAGACTGGTGTTGGTAATTAATCACGCCTGCAAACTGGTGTGCATTAGTATTTGGAAGGGCAAACCATTATTATTATTGTCATTATCATACTAGCTCCTGCAAGTATTAACAGAGGCTAGTAGCCTACTATTATTTTTGGTGGAGACTGGATACAGGCTAAACCATTAATTACTCGTTCCCTTTTCTATTCTTTGTCTTTGTACTTAGGATCTTGGACACAGGAACTACGCCGGTCACAACTGGACAATGAGATGAACTAAGCGGTTTTCGGCATGTTATATATCTATGAAAATTGTGGGTTTTGATCATTTCCCTGAAGAAGCTCTGACCAGACTTCCATGCTAGATGTTGGAATTCCTCGTTTAAGGCATGACTTATTCCTAATGTCAGCTTTCGATTGGCGCCCATAACTATGAAAGTATACGGGCAATTCTTGGCCAGAGTCCACACAAACAGGAGTTAATGAGCCCCTCATCCGAAATGCGGAAACCGGCCTGGGGAAATCTTCCCCTGTTCCTTCAACAATCACTTAGTCATTCGTGGGCTTCCTCTTGGAAAGGAGGATTTGGAGATGAGAGACTAACATGTACCCAATGTCATGTCCCATGAATAGAGGAGACGGTATATTAGCGCACTGTGTTTTGAATAACGATTTAGGCATTGACTACCCTTTTCGTTTCGCTCCAAATATGGTTGATTATCTAAAACGTCATCAAAAAAGGGTCCACAGAGAAACTGGGTCTCGGCAGAGACATCTAGAACTAATAATAGTACACGCTACTTGTTTTTCAAACTTTGTGTCGTAGAATTAGCGAACGACGGTTTCTCCAGTTCTACCTATGTTTCAGTGGAGAACGTTCTAGTTTTGGACTGGTCACATTTTTCTTCTTGGTTCCGAAAAACCCCAAAAGATGAGGGTAGTCGATTATGAATTGATCTGGTATCATGGTAGTATCGCTACTCCCAATATGCAGATGACGGCAAGCGTCTCCAGTGCAGCCCTTTGACACTGCAAGACCATAGATGTGAACTAAACCTCCTTTTGAAAGTACTAGGGGACGGAGCTGCAACAACTTCTAGAGGAGGGGAGTTCATCAGTCTCGGGGTTCTAACTGCACGGATCTTTGTATGGACTCTCTGACGCTCTGCTCCTGACAGTGATCTTTAAAGCGACCTTTCTGATTAAAGCCTAAGAGGGATCTTTCAACACAGGGGGATTATGGGCGATGCGGCACGTCATAGCCATACCGCTGCTGATCCTCCGGCGTCGTACCGGGTGCAGCGTAAAAGCAACTAAGCGATCCAGTTAGGGTTTGTACTGTGAACTGATAACTTTCGCCGTATCCGATGGGACCTATATTTCCTTCCAAATCTTGAGATCATCGGCATATAACAGTGAATGAAAAGTGAGGGATCCTGGTAGGTCGTTGGAGGAGCAAGATATAGTAGCGGATCAAGATTGGAACATTGAGGCACACCACTCCATGCCGAGAACCGTTAGATAAAGAGAAGCCAACTCTGACTGCAATCTAGTGTGAGGACAATCCCCAATTCAAATTAGTAATTTTCCGTGGACACCCACAAGCTGACGTTTCTCACACAGGACATCATTATTTAACCCATCAAAAGCCTTAGAAAGGGCAAGTGGACCAGTGCGAATGGTTTTTTCCGCTCAATGGAAAGAGTCCATCTATTCTAAGCTGTCAACAGGTTGGTATTACATGATCTTCCGGGTAAAAAACAACGTTGACAGCCATTTAAGATTAAATTCTCAAGTAAGTAGCCTGGAAATGAGTCACTTATTACTCTTTCTATGAGCTTCTCAAATGAAAACGTCAATGGGATTTCAGGCGGGGAGTTTTTTCTTCCTTTATTTACCGGGATGACAGCCGACCGTTTTCAATCGGAGGATAACCTGTCTTCCAGCTTAGAGCATCTGAAGGGGTTTGGTATTGGTGCGCTCAGGATATCAGCACGCTCTTTCAGTACTCCCTGGTGAATCTCACCGACTCCGGAAAATTTATGCGAATTCAAGTTCTTTAAGGTTCCTTTAATTAGAGAAGGCCCACACTCTGTATGGCTTAGCCCCTTTTTTTCCCAATTGAAAGTTGTTTGGGAATTCCTAGGATGGTAAGTTTGCTGCCTCAGAGTTGGTGTGGAGAATCTTCAAACTGCCGGGGTCCTTTATACCAAGTGAACCGTCACTCTACTGTTCCACCAGCGAGTACAATATCCCATGGTTCCTCTCCAGGTTAATACGCAGTTGTGTCCGGCAGTTTGCTCTGCCACCTCCAATTCTTATCATACATTTGTAACAGATGTCTTTTTAGTTAAAGCAGCCAACAGTGGCAACAGTGACCCTCCATCATTTCTAAGGTGACTATTTACGTCGTATAAATTTACGCGCGCTTTACTTTATCCAGCAGGAGTGAAACCTGTTGCTTCTCCGTGGGATCACGGGGTGTTGTTACTTATCACTTGACTCTGCCTTTTAACAGTTCCTATCTAGGATCCAAATCCAATAGGTTAACGTAATCTACGCAAGTGTAGCCTTCTACATCTTACCGGACCTTTTCAAAATCAGTTTACCTGTAATTCCTGACTAATGGCCGATCAGGAGCATGTAACGTAGACATAGCGATGTGGAAGGAAACAGCTGCATGGACATTGAATCCAAGAGGGTCAAAAAAACTTAAGTTAGTTACCCCGATGAACTGATTTGTGAAATTTCGTAGGGGTGCCTTACCATCAAAGCCACAGCGAGCACACCGAGACGCATTCAGTCAGGGAGGTTTCTGGTAATATTTCCGGAAATCTCCTAAAGCGGCAGGTGCCCTTTCAGCGGTAAAGAGTTGAGGGAAGTTAAAATCTCTCGCAATGGGGACCTGTGGAAAGTTCAACTCCAGATGTCCTCTAATGGATTGTATCAACATATTATTTCATGTGGTAGTGGCTCCGGGAGAGCAGTATAAGATTCCAACCAAACAGGGGCTTCCACAGCATGCAATGCCATATCAGAAAACATCTTTAGTGCTAATTCCATGGGGGAAGATCTCATGAGCTTTCAGGGATCGACTAGTGTAGAGAGCAACGCGGACTCCCTAGCCCTCCAAACTATCCTTCCGGATTGGGTTGAGTTGGCCTAACTGAATTCCTAATATTTTATGTCATCTGTGAAACATGTTTCACAGCAAGCCATTATGCTAGAACTATACTCATCAACTGACGACCTTAATTTAGGTATCAAAGAGCGCAGGCCATGCATATTGCTACCACCGGACTGGTGCTATCTACTTAAAACCGTCGGGAGTATTCTATGTACCGTCCTCTCTACTATACATTTGCTCCTATTCAGGCATTCTTACTGGCAAGAGTGACGAAAGATACCTGGTCTTCCCTGTGGCCCGTAGCTTCCCAACCAAATCAGTCTACAGACTAAAAATAACCCACAAAATCATTCATTTAAACAGTGCGAAAAGCAGGAATTCAGAAGAGATGTGTCTACTTGCTACATAAAGAAAAGAAGCTAAACCTCAAGAAGCAAAACAAATCTCCAAAACCTACAGTTCTACGTCCTCACTCTGCCGATGTAAGCCGTGGAACGTACCAACCTTTCGGAAGGGCTGTACTCCAGACGCTTCCCGTCATCTGCAGATCAGGTGCAGTAATGCAACCATCGGACCAGATTGATTAGTAATCGACTATCTCTATCCTTTCAGATTAACGTTTGTTGTTTAGAGATAGGAGGCTGACAGCCTATATTAATCCTTCTCCAGTGGATTTCTGGGCTTGTTCAATCCCTTCAGAAGGAGTCAGTTGGTGATGCGGACATCACTTCTTGTGGGAGTCGGTTCCAGGCGTTGATTGCTCGGCACGCGAACCTGCACTCTGCGGAGACTATGCTCGTCATTTGCTTTTGTAGTCCCTCGCTGTGCCTTTTGGGGCGTTCCGACCTAATGGGAAGGGAAAGAGGAGATAGATCAGGTCTGAGGTCATTTCTTAGAACCCTGTACAGCATAATTAGGTCTCTTTTCTGTCCACGATTGGTCAAAGTGAAGAGGCTCAGCTCGTAGGTGAGGCCAACCATCACAAAAATCACACGAGTGGGTGGCCTCTGAGCTCTTTCTAGAAGGTCTGCATCACGTTTCAGACAAGAATTTGCCACTTCTGTACAGTTTTCTAATTTAGATCCCACTAAGGAAGTGTATAAGATGGTGCAGATGTCACCACCTATATTCGTAAACGTTCTACGTAGTGCCCAAAATGTCCTGAAACCCGAGCTGCCACCAATCGACAGTGTGCTGTGGTTTTCAAGTTGTAGCTCACTGTGACTCCTAGGTCATCGTGGGTCAGCAGTGACGGTAGAGGAATCCTAGCAATATCGTGCGTTGTGTGTTTGCCCCAAGTGCATGCTCATATATTACCTGGATTGATAGGCCTCAGCACCTCTCTGATGGGCAAAACAAGCTGTTTAGGTCTTTCTGAAGCGCACGTATATCTTCATCGTTCCTAATTTCCAGCCAGATTTTTACATCATCAGAGTAGAGAACCATAGGGGATTTCGTGATATTTGGCAGCTTATTTACGTATAGGAGGTTTTTCAGCACCAGGAAGATAATTGCGACTATTCCAAACCCAGAGCGTACTCCAACAAGACAGATGTAGAACCCAAGGAGCCGTCTTTTACTAATTCTACAACGCGTAGTTTGAAGCTTTCCGGTTGAACCCTAACACTCAGGAGCGACCTTGAAACTAGCGCGCGGTATGACTTTGTTTCAAGATTCGGAAAGAACAGATGATTCTCAGTGTCGTGAAAAGGAATTCAGGTATTTTAATCTTCACTAGAGGGATAAAATTAATATTTTCTCTCACAACAGAACTGAGTCACTTTTGTGTCGCCTGAAATACCAAAATAATCTGCCTGAACTTCCATTCGATCCCAAATTTTTAGCATTTCCACTCGAACCGTCCAGGTTAGATGATTATTACTACATGTCAGGTGATTTCAGGTTTCTCAGTATGTCGCGACTTCCCTAGAGCGAAACTACAAGCACGAGCTCCTCACAGAAACTGATGTCGGTGTCGAAGTTGATTTAATAGATCCTGATATATTCCGGATTGACAGGAGAGGTTCGTTCTGATATAACATATCATTATGCTGTAATAGCTACCCTTCATCCGGATGATGAACGACTCTTAGAGGATGAAGCTCCGTCCGTTAACGCTCGGAAATCTAGACATCAGAAATCAGTCTCCTGGCTGAGGAAAACAGAATATATTTCTACTGAGCTTTATAATCGCTGGAACAAATCCGAAAAAGTTGAATCACGGTAACTGCCTTCACAAATTCTAGATTAACCAGGCTTGGATATAATGTGAAACGACATCTCAATGAAGAGATAGTTTACCGTGATCGTGAGAGCCAGATAAATGCCATCGAAGAAACCTTTAGAGCTGCTAGGAAACCTATACACAAACATTACAGTAAGCCGAACGTTCATGCTGTAGAGGTTCTACCTGTTCTTCCTGATTTCACACTATGGAGGTATCCATGCGCTCAAGTAAGTCTACTACTTATTGCTGTTTAAATGTTTGTACGTCTCATAATACGCCGTGATTCTAATCATAGGTGATTGTTATAATGAAGTTCAAGTCAGTACATGGATTAATTTAGTGGGTCTCTTTTTTGGTAAGAAATTTAAACTGTCTCTTGGATCTAATCTGCCTAACTTGAAGTTCAGCAACACAGCATTGAAAAATACCAATTGATTTAGAAGGCAGTTTGGACAATGAGTAAACTAGTCGAGATGTATGAACTGATTTGAGCATTCTTTCCATAACTGGTTACCTCTTTGGTGTAACTCTTAGAATCCCTACTGCCTGTTACCTGAATACTGAGTTATTGCTGATCTGTCAAACTGATTAGGCACTTAATAACGAACATGTCAATCTTGTTTTCACACTTTACTTGAGTACTGGTGTTTTTGTACAGTTTAAATCACTATAAGTTCCTGTGAATAAGCGTTTTTACTAAGTATGAACTGTTCGTGGTCCAAATAAAGTATTTAATTGGTTTAAACGTTCATCGTTCTCATGATTCGGTTCCAAGTTACCGTCTGCAATGATTTCACTGAAATTTCTTGCCTTTTGACAATCTCGTAATTCGCAGACATCACACTAGTTAAAAACCCTTAGGATGTTTTCACAGCAAGTACGGTAAGCACCAATTTCATATTGTTTATCATTGACAATTTTGATGATGTGACATTGTATGCACCAAAATCATGGTTTTAGAATTTTCCGATGATCATTATCTTTCCAGGTTATTTTCGATGATGACCCTTCTCGTAAAAGCAAGACTACTTCTGAGCAGAAGGAGGAAGTGAGTCAAGCGATGATTCGGTTAGTTTTTAAAACTTCTCTTTATTACAGCATTTAAAACTATCAGTGAATTCGTCAACTTAATAAGTGGTTGTATATTTTCCTTTTCTATTCGTGCTATTCCCACTCTTCTTACCAGTGTTTTTTCTATACCAAATGCCGTGTTATGCGTACACAGCCTCTGCCAGGAAAGTTCTATTCACTGGCGTCACTTGGTGGGGATGTCCCCACAAAATGAAAGGGCGAAAGTAAATGTTCCGCGCTCATCAACGGATTGGTGGATACTGAGGGTTCACGCAGGGGAGTCGGAAAGCCCCGGTTGCATACCTATGGTGTACATGGGCTCCAGGTTCCGGAAGGAACGATTGGCGTTTGAACTTATTTTGGCCAGGCTTATTCGTGGAAATGCAGCTCCTGTTGCTGCTCCACTACTTTGTGGATTAGACTTGGTGAAAGGTTCAGGGAGGGGTCCCCTAAGACAGCCACCCTTGGTCTGGGCGCCCGGGTAGTATCTCATAAAATAAGGAAATACAACATACAGTGAGGATTTTGCAGCTCTCACCTGACTTTTCTGAAATTACTCAAGCCTTCCGTATTGCGACCACTATAATTGTTCAATTTATTGACACTATAATGTTTTTATTGTTTCTATGTATAAGCCGCATTTTCTGCTAATATCATCTATGTTCACTTCACTCAACTGCTCTCCGTTGTTTAGACTTCTTGTCTGTCTGTACCGGTTTGAGTTGCTAAGCAGTCGCTCACATGAAATTGTCCCGCAGTGCTATGTCTGACACAGCTATCCCGAAACTACGCGTACCGTCTAAGCTCACCACTTTCAATCCCCCTCCCTCTGCATAATGCAGATCTGAAAACAGGCAGGTTTGGCTTGGACTCTGGAAAGCCTTGCTTTTGATATATGTTGCATCTGAGAAACCCGCATACACGACCCCAGTGGATTGTTTCAAATAAGTTCCCCACCTGTCAGCTCGAAAAATGTCTCATGTGTGTTTATTCGGGGGCTGTGGCATTGGCAACTGGCCTCGCTGGTGTCGGTGTCACACTAAGCGCCTGAACCGAAGCTGCACTACGCTGAATCCCTATCAACAGTCGCCTGTATGGTTTGGCTAGAAGGTCCAACTCGAGTTAGAAGTAACTAGCAAGAGGAACGATGTATTTGTCATTTCTGCCTAGGTTCCGACAGACTGCAGCCCAGATGCAACCAGGGATGAATTCTATCATCAACTAAGTGACAACCAATTTCGCTTGACAGGTGTTGTAGTGCTAACTAGGGACTTGAATGCGCAGGTCTGGCGTCTAGGCTCAGAGGGGAGTCGTTTAGGTGCCTAGCGGGGACTAGCTGGCAGTTGGTCCAATAATAGGGATCGTCTTCTGCAGCTTAGCATGCATCACAATTTGTTTCTAGTCAGCACCAACCTCCAGAACAGCCATCACTCTTGTACTACTTGGCGCCCTCCCTCTGCCATTCAAGCCTGGACTCAAATAGATCATATGGCAATTAGCTACCGATGGTGTGGGTGCACGCAAGACTGCCGATGTTTATGGAGTACTTGTTTGGACTCTGGTCATCCTTTAGTGTGTTTTAAGCTCGTCTTGCGTTTTAATGGTCATCAAAATCGTCCTGCTAAACCGGTCAATGCAAGCAAATTAGTTGGACCTAACGTTGTAGCTAATTACCAATCCGAGCTAGATTTAAGGCTATCTACAGGTCTTCCAGAAAGTGTAGATGAGCATAGGCTGCACTTTCAAGGCTTCATGAAAATGGCGATTAAAGTCGCTTACGGCCTGGAAAAACGTTCCGCTGATAAACACTGGGTCTCTGCAAGCTCCCTGCTGCTTCTTGATGTCCATCGGACCATTCCGGTGGATAAGGAGTACAATGGTTCGCGTAAGTTTTACGCGAAAGGTTACACGGAGCTTGAGCAGGGACTGTGTGGCTGGTCAGAACGCACGAGTGAAATGGAAGCAGCAGCTGCATCTGGCAATAGTCGGAAACTGTTCCAGCTCATCCGAGCCACTGACTGCAGGAAGCCTGGTGTCAGTGAGATGGTTTATGAGGTGGGTGGTATGCCGATAAATAATCTTCAAAGATGCCTAGAACGCTGAATGGAGCACTTTAAAAAGGGCTTACGTAATGTATGTAACAGCCATCGGGGTATCATTCTGTTACCAATCACTTCAAAAATACTGGCTACTATCATACGTCTCGGGCTTTGTGAAACTTTGCGAACAAAATGAATCACGGAAGTAGACCGGGTTTCGTTCAGTTCGCGAATGCGTTGACAATGGATTTTCTCTCCACCAGATACTTGAACATCGACACACGTATTGCAGGCCAACATTCACTGTGTCTTCTAACATTACAGCTGCTTTCGATTGGTTGGACCGAGCTGTACCCTGGAATTGTATGTTGCAGAGGGGTGTGCCCTATTATTATTATTATTATTATTATTATTATTATTTACTTGTCCCTTGAGTTCCTAGTGGGACATAAGGCTTCACTAGTACGTCACCATTGGACTCCCTTCTCCACTGTCTTTTAACCTGCCTTCACGACTGCCCACTACCTTTCATTTCTTCAAATCACCATCTCCTCCATGTCACACTCACACACTCAACTCGTCGTTTTCCCTTTCGAATCCACTCGAGGGCCTCGTCTGCTGCGTGGTGTCCCCAAACCGTCGTCTCAGTATATGTCCAATCCAATCCATCTCCACTTTCTTCTGCATATTTTGTTGCGCGATAAATTCTCATTCGGTTCGTTGCCAGGCCAGAGTGAGTTCCTTGTTGCTTATTCTTATTATTCTGCTCATCTGATCTTCAGCATCGAGTCAGTGTAGGCAACAGCTGTTGATGAATGTCTGCAGTCTGTTGGAAATGCTTTTCGTAACGCGCCAAGTCTCTCAACCTTCACATAGAAGCACTGAATTAGTGTTGAAAATCCGGATCTTGTTCATGCTTTATGCTGAGTGCAGTGCGGTGCAGTGCAGTGCTGTGCAGTAGATCTCCACACTGATTTCACGTTAGTGAATGCCTGTTTTGCTGGCTTTTCCGATCCTGGCTTTGAAATCCTCATCTGTGCCTGTGTCCTGTGTCGCCACCTGTAGTTGAAACGATGCTGCCTCGCCTAAGTAGGTGAAACAGACAACTTCCTTTAGGTTTCTCCTGTTCATGGTGATTGGTGCTTGTTGTTGTTGTTGGTTGGGTATCTTCATCACCACTGTCTTCTCTACGTTCACATGAAGGAAGTCCCATCTTCGCTGCCCTATCCTGACCTGCCCTGCCTCTTCTGACAACGTGTTAGTTTTCGCCTGTAGATCTTCGAGTTTGTGTGACAATACATGAGACATAAATCATCATCGTCGGCGAAATCCAAATCTTACTCTGGGGTCTTTTCATCGGTCCAACCAGCGTATGCCCACCTTCTCGCTCCTCACTGTTTGTTGCATGATCCAGTCCAGTCCAGTCCAGTCCAGTCGACCACAATCAGGAAGATGATCGGTGATAGTAGGCGACAACCTTGTCTTACTCCTGTCTTCACTTCGTTTCAAAGGCATCACTGAGCTTTCCATTGTGAATCACTTCGCATGTAGCATCATATAGCATACCATAGCATGGCATGGCATGGCATAGCATAGCATATAGCTGCTGTTGAATGAGGTTGATAAAGGTTTATGGTATTAAAACCGTAGTGTTGAAGCACCTGCCCGCCAAATTACTTCTCGGTCGACGCTGTCCAAGACCTTTTCAAAGTCGATGAATTTGAGGTAAGGTGAAGAGTTGACTAGCATTCTATGCTCTGTTCTATCATGATGCGTAACGTTGCAATTTCATCCGCACAGGATTTGTTCTTCCTGAAGCCAGCCATCCATCCTGTTCCGGTCGTAGTTTTGAATCCAGAGTATTGTTTAGTCTCTCCAGGATGATGCGACTTAACATTTTGCTTGCTTTGGGTGGACAGGGACAGTAGTATGATTACACGCCAGTTCTTGCAAATACTTAGGTCTCCATTGTTTGGGAGTTTGACAAGGTAGCCCTTCTTCGAATCTCCAGGTGCCTTTCCTCCCTTCATTCCAAACCTTCTGCAGTAGTGGTGTGAAAATGTCCACCGTCGTCTCTGCGTCTGTTTTCAGTGCTTCTGGGGGAATTCCATCTGGTCCTGCTGCTTTCTCGGATCTCAGCAACTTTATGGCGTTCAGGACTTTGGCTCTTGTCAGAGGGCTTGTGTTCACTGGTAGTTCTGTGGCTGTGCTGCTGGTGATTTTTCTGGACGAGTTCCAGGTGGTGGTTGATTCAAGAGTTTTTTGGAGTGGTCAACCCATCGTTTCCCTTGTTTCTTTCTGCTCCTTGGTAACTAGGTTTCCTTCACTATCTTTCATTGGTTTCGTCTGCGTTGATCTCTTCCCTCCCAGATAGTAACCTGGTTATTTGATATAATGTTGTCAGATCTCTGTCTCCCTTACCTGCAGCCTGTTCTGCTTCACTTGCAAGTGTGTCATAGAAGTGTCTTTTGTCTTTCCGTGCACTCTTCTTCGCTTCTTTGTCCAATGTAGTATTTTATAGGTTGTGTTCAGTCCCTCTTTTCGTTGTTCATCCCTGCACCGCACTGCACTGGTTCATCTTCTACTTCACCATCTTCCTCTCCCTCTTTTATCAGCTTCCATGTGTCCATCGAGATCCATTCCTTATCTTATCTTGTCTTGTTTCTTCTTCCTTCCTAATACGGTTATGCAGGTTTCCTTCCACGTCTCTTTCAAAGAGTTGCAGTGTTCTTCCACTCAGGTTTCCTCGGGGATGTTGCTTAGTGTCTCCCATTTTGTTCTGATGGCTGACTGACGTTAAGATGTCCTTTGTAGTTTCGTCCTTCAGTTCAGTTTCTGTTCTGGGTGGTTGTTGAACTTCAACTGTGGTCTATCACCAGCTTCTTATTCGAAGGCTTTCAACTTGAGTTTGAATTCAGCTCCCTTACACTAGATAGTGAGTGGTGTGAACCTACATCT